GATGTAGTGGTGTGATAATTGTCAGGTTAGTGCTACAATTATTGTTGACAAGCAAGAATATGACATATTTGAATATGCAGACTAATCTGTATTCCATTTTAACCAATTCTAATCAACAACTTTCTCTCTCATAATTGGTTCTAGCCTAATTAGATGAAGAAAACTTAGGATATCTCAAGCCAATTCCATTAACACACACTGTTTGAATATAAGCTGGACCAATAGATTAGATGGTTTAAACTAGTGATAGAATTTCCACTCCTAGATAGATTCCCCTGAAAAACATGAGTCTACTTTTAGAGTACATACTATACATATTGCTAAAATTTGTAGATTCTTGATACAATTGATGCAATTATTTGACACAATTAATTGAGTCACTATTAAAATATATAAATAATTGAGTCATAACGCAATTATTTTTGAGATTTTTGAAAATTGAGTCAATAGCAAATAATTTATATCATATGTATAGTATATACTATGTTGCCAGGTTTAATATAAATAGGATAATGAATTAACTTAAATGAATTATAGTAGTGCTGTAATTGGATATAAATAACTCAATAAAATTATATGCTGCATGTAATAATAAATTCTTAAATTATTTAGCATATAAAATTTTGCAGATCAATTATGTCTCTTTTAAAGAGACATAATTATTTATTCATTACTTTAATAAAAACATATATTTTAAAAAAAACTTTTTTAATAGTAATAGACATTTTTTTTTTTTAACTAGCCAGGCCTTGCCCACTATACTTTATTAGTTTATGATGTTTACATTTGTTATTTACATTTAAATTTATAATTTATGTTATAACTTTATTTCTATTTTTATATATTTGGCTATATCAGATTTTCCAAATATCGGCTTTGAGCTATTTGATTTATTCTTTAGCCTGAGCTATTGAAAAGTAATCAAAGACTAATGTGCCAAGGCTCCACTAGTGTTAATAAATAATATGTTAGTATAATTGTTGTGTTTTGCGTTCCATTTGTATTCTGCAAACCATTTTGTCATTTTTTCTGCCTATCTTTTTGCTATTTCTATTTTTTCCTCTATGTTGTGTCTCTCTGTTTTTTCAGCTTCTGGCTTTTTGTTTTTCTTTTTTTTGCCCTTCTTTTTGTTTTTGTTTTTCTTTACTATGATGCTGTTGTTTTCCTCCTATTCTATTGCTTTGTTACATCTTTCTTTTCATCATTCTTTGAGCTTTCTTCCATTTTTTTTGAGATTGCTTTGTATATTTCCGATGCTTTTGTGCCAACTCTGCTTTTGATATATTTAACTGTTTCCTTTGTGAATATTGATTTTACTATAAGCATTCTTGTATATTCTGAGTCTATTATCCTATATTCCCTGTTTCTTGCCTCCTTTTGTATTTTCTTCTCTACCCTGGTGCTGATTTTCTGCTTTATGACTTTATTGAACTCATTCGTAATATTTTCTTTCCAATGTTTGTGTATCATATGTTAGTATGTTTCTTTTTCCTTTTTGCAATATGAACATGTTACTGTATTATATAGGTCTGGTCTTCATATTGCTAATTTGTCGAATGTTGGAAGTTCTTCATTAAACATTCTGAATTTGAATCTTCTGCTTTTATGATCCTGTTTGCTTGTTCTATTGCTTGTTATTAGTGACGGTTATTATACTTCGTGTGATGTTTTCCAGTCTATGTCTTTTTCTCTTCTATCGATTCATGCCATGTGCCTGTTTTGTATTATCCATCTTGCTAGCCATTGTGCGTTCTGTTGTCGTTTATGAAACTGTTGATATTTGTGTCCAATACTTTTTCATTTCATGTTATGTTGTAGTGTAGGTCTTCCGTTACTTCTTCACTCTTGATTTCCTGTTTTTTGTTACTTTTTGTACCCTCTTTAGCTAGCTCATTTGCTCTTTTGTTTTCTTTGATTCCTACATGTGCTTTGACTTTTATAAGATTGGTTGTTCTTTGCCTGCTATTTATAGTTTCTTTGATGTGTTTTATCGTTATCCAGTTCGGGTTGTGTGTTATGTTTTTATTTCCTTTTTTGTTCCCTGTTATGTTCTGTATTGCTGCTTGACTGTCTATATGTATGTTTATTGCCACACTGTTGGATATGCATTTGATTAAGCTTAGGATTGCTACAAGTTCTGCTCTTGTAAATGATGAGAAGTCTTTGATGTTTGCTTTGAATTCCATTTCTTCTTATGTTTCAGTATTTCTTGCTAGCCATCTGATTCCTATTTTGCATTTATATATTCCTATATCCATAACTGATCCATCTGTGTATGCATCTATTCTTTTCCAGGTCTTCATCAGCTTTTTTCATTTTTTTAGCTCAATTTTCACTGTGTGCCTGTTTCCATTCCTTTGTATATTGTTTTTCTGTTTTCACTTTCTGAGGCAGCTTGTTGATGGGTTTTCTCTTTGCTTTTTTCTTTTTCTTGTTTTTGTTTCCTTGCTTGAATATTGTTTCTAATTGTGGATAGTGATGCTTGTATTCTTTTCTATCTGCCAATAATTTGACCATGTATTTTTGAGCTTGCGTCTGTTTTAATTGTGGGGATAGCTACAGCATTTTTAATGTTGATGGTTCTGATATATATGTCTGTTCCTTACTTGTTGTGTTTACACCCCAAGCATTTTTGAAGTGGTAAGTCTCCTCCTATAATAGTAAGAGACATTTGAATTATGTTCTCACTTTTAATTTAGGAACCTATCTTTAGCTGCATATACCTTTTATTTTAATAATAATAATAATAATAATAATAATTAATAATAATTTATTCTAAATGCTATAATTTTTATTATAGAATGTTATAACTTTATTGCCAAATATTTTTTAACTAGAAATATTTTTTTGTTAAATGATTTTATTGTTAAATGATTTTATTGTCAAATATTTATTTTTTATCAAATGTTATATTTTTTTTGCCAAATTATTGTGTTTTTTTTGTACTAAATAATATAAATTGAACTAAACAAAATTTTGATATAAACTTTTATTAATAAATTTGGATTTAATTAGTTGTAATTCAACAATTAAATAATCTAATTTGAATTAGTATGAGAAAGATATTAAATAAAATAGTTTATATTATATATATATATATATATTTAATTCAGATATTTTTCAAAAACCATATTATGTTTTTATTACTAAATAATAATTAGTAAGTAATTAGAAATTGTATTTAATTCAAAATTGTATTATTGATTAAATTTTCTTTTATAATAATAAGAAAACATATATAGTTTATATAATGAAACTGATTTTTAATTTCATTATATATTATAAATTTTTTTATAAAATTAAAAGTATATAGGAGATACAATTAAAGAATTACCAACTTTATAAATTAATTAAATAATTATAATCACTTATATAAATTTATCTTAATTAGATTCAAACAAGTATAAATACAATATTAAGAGCCAACAAATTTTTTTATTGAAGATATTTTTAATAATAATTAAAAAAATTTTTTTTAACACGGATATTTAAAACAGCAAATAAAATAGAAACCATACTCTTAGATTTTTAATAGACAAATATATTTCAATAAAAAGAAGAATATATAATAATTGAATTCTTACTAAATAACTTTTTCTTTTATAACAAATCAATGAAATCTTTGAAAAAACATACTATATTCATAAACCAGCTAATAGACAAGAAACACAATATGCTTCTAAACTGGAAAGTACTACAATTTCTAAAACTATTATTGTTATTTTAAGAACAAAATAGTTTAGATAAAATTTATATATATAATAATTTTTTTAAAATAAGTTATTTTATTATAAAAATAATTGAAGACAAAAGTTTTGAAATTATTTAATAATTAAATAAACCAATAACTTTAAAAAATATATACGTAGTTTAAATAAAAAATTAACAATAAGTATCAATATTTTTTCTAATTAAAAATTTTTAAATACAGTATAAAGTTTTAAATATAATTTAATTATGTAATTACAAACAGTAAATATAATATAAAAGTATTTATTTTTATTTGATTTATTTATTTTTTTAATATACAATATGCTATATATATATATATTGTAATTTTTATAATATAATCCGAGTTAATAAAACATAATAACGTATACGTATATCTAAAAATTTATACTGTTAAGTAAGCTGGATCAAATGAATTACGTATATACAGTATATACAGTATTTATATTTCATATTTGTAATAGTTCAATATATAATGTAATTATAAGTAATACTGTAATGATATAAAGTGTTCAAAAAAGATTAGTATGTTTTAAAAATAACAAAATTAATGATTGACGTATTTAATAAGGATTGACACATTTCCGAATATCAAATGTAATGTTATTCTGTCCTGAATATTAAACGACCAATGAAATTTCATTTTATTTGTATAGCGCGTGCACGTGCCAGCCTTTTGTGTTACATGTTACTTCGGACCCGTTTCCTAGATAGTAATGATGACCCTTAATCAAAAACCCTATTTAACCCTATTTTCGCAAAATCAAGTACTTAAGATCAAAAAATCATTTATTGTTTACTCCGCTAATCGGATACGGAATTTTGTAAATACGTATGCGGCACTTACGAAATAACCTCTCACTTAATCCCTCGAAGATGGGAGCTATTTCTCCAGACAAAAAAAAAAGAAAGAAACTACGTAATATTTTATAATTACATCCTATATGCAATGTACGTAGGTGAACCCAAACATTACGTAAAAGGGAGTTGCTTCTTTTTCTCGTTCCAAGTACTCGTATCCATGGAATGGTTATTAATGGGGTGACTAAAAATATCAAATTCGTTAATGCTAGCAAATTAGTATATTCTGTATGTTTTAAACCAATTGATAATCACTCCCCTTTGCATGCCATGCTCATGCTTCGTGGGACAAATGATCTTTCATAAGGAAATAACCGTCAATTGCCCCTGATATTTTTCCATTAAAGTGCAAAGCATAATACACGCCTCAACTTTTACGCATTTCAGAATAGAAGTAGCATTAATTAAGGATGAATTATTTAGAGTCAGAAACAGCGAGTATGGAGGACAGAACCAAAGTTGCACTGACTTTAAATACCAATATTTCAGTTGAGACACAGATACCTTCCTTCCGCCGAACAACGATGCAGAACGTGCGTCAGTCGTGGGTTTCTACCAGACCTCCCTCGATACCAGAGGCCGAAAGCATGAACATTCAACCAACAGCCATTCTTGAAAAGAACATGCCTACCGCCAAGTCTCGGTTATCAATTATCATTCAGAAGGGTACACCGAAAAAAGTGGTCTCTGCTAGGCGTGATAGCGGGTTCTTGGGTTCTCCTACAGCCGTTAATGAATCTTACGACTTGGAGAATTATGTGGATGCACTGTCATCTCCTCAATCTCTATTGTTAAATCGACCAATTTCAAATATCTCTTCATCCACATGTTCAGAACTTTCAGATTTTTCACATTCTCCCTCGTCCTCGCTCGTGTCGGGATCCATTGGTACCAACAATCAAGATAATAGTAGCATATCTGATAATATGTCGATGAGTAGTACTTCGCCTACGCCAAGTTTAGTCCGTCATCGATACTCCGTTCCGACTGAATCAGAAAGTACGAGTCCTCGTCAGGATGACGCGACCCCGCGACGTGCATCAATGCCTTTCTTATCTCATGTTCCTTCCTCACCCACGGCTTTG